ATACACCCTGCGACCCAGGAATGAACTAAGCTAAGAGAAACCAACTGGAAATCCATTCCTGGTGCTATAACAGGAACAGATAAAATCTCAGCATGGAAGCTGGAACCTGCACCACTGGAAGCCTCGATTTGAATTTCCTGCTGCTGCTGCTGCAACCAAATCTGCAGGGAGAGAGACGCGCGAAAGCTCTGAGAGCGGGAATCTGCGAACGGAGCTGAGAGTGGGACTAGCAGGGAGCCCTACATCGACTTGCGGGACCCTTTCATAGCAAAGGACATACTGGGACTGGGCAGACTTGCGGAACAGGGCACTGCAGTGACATTAGTGGCATATGCCCCTCTCAAGCAGGATTGGTCGGGAGTGCCTGGCCTACGTGGATAGATACCAGCTGCTGACTAAGAGCCAGTAGGCTAGCCCAAAACAGGTCCCAGCACTTGGAGGTGTACCCTAGCAGTGAAGCCTTCAGTAGGGTGACCTGGAGGGGCGGGCCCAGCAGAGGCTGCCCAGGTCTGTATTTCCCTAGTACACTGCAGTGGGCAGGAACACCTAGCCATCGCAATTCACACAAACTATAACAGACAAAGAGAAAAAAAATTGGGCCTCCTACAATCGCTTGTATGGAAGGAACAAAAAGTATGGGAAGAGGAAGCAACAAGAAAGGGTCCTCAGTCCCCAATCCTGAGAACACTGATCCAGAAGAGGCAAAAGCAAAGGAAGACAGAAAACATGCAATATCAGACATGGCACCAATAGACATAAAGTGATATCTCCAGGGCCTCATAGACGAGTTTAAAAAATGAAGTATTTAACGAAATAAAGCAAGATAGAAGCAAAGTAGAATAGTTAGAGGAATGCTAAACACCGCCCGAGAAAAAACAGATGGTGGAATGGAAGAACAGAAAAAAAGGGGAGAGTTGTTTGATGGAGAAAAGAGAGAAAACATAGAATACATGAAGCAGGAGATTACCAGGAAACTAAAAACTCTATTGAAAGCTGGCATAACAGCTTGAAAGAAGCCAAGGACATATTATCTGAATTGGAGGGCAGATTTGTAATATGGGAGCATGAAATGAAAAACTTCTTAAAAATAACAAAAAAACAAATAGGAATAATACAAAGGCTAGAAGATGATAAGAGGATCTATAACTTAAGAATTAAGAACATAAAAGAAGAAGTAGGGACACAAACAAATGGACTACAAAAGCTATTCACAGAAATAATCCAAGAGAATTTCCCCAATTTAGCAAATGGTAAAGATACTCAGATGTATGAGGCATACAGGACCACAGCCACCTACAATCCAAACAGAGCTACACCCAGGCATATAATAATAAAAATTCCAGAAATCCAATATAAGAACAGAATACTAAAAGCCGTCAGAGACAAACAGATCACTTACAAGGGAACACCCACCAGAATTACAACAGACTTCTCGGAACAAACCATCAGATCACGAAGAGCGTGGGGGAAATAATTCAAGCTTTGAAAGATAACAACCTCCAGCCAAGATTGATGTATCCTGCACAACTGTCCCTAGAAATTGATGGAAAAACAAGGTGCTTCCAGGATAAAGAGGAACTAGGGGAATTTGCAACCACTAATTCAACTCTACAGAGAATACTGCAAGATATTCTAAAAAAGGAAAATACCAAGACTTCAGAAATAGTGACAGAGAGGCCACAATGAATGGAGCAGAAAGCAAAATGAAGAAGACAAACTGACAACAAACAACAGAAAAAGAGCTCAACAGAAATGAGGCAGAGAAGGTCAGATGGTAGGAACAGCTATTTCGGAGAAAACAAGACATCATAATAGCTAGTGCTGATTTAGTATCATCTTGCTTTGAAGTCCCATCAAGCTTTTATTCTTCTGTCTCCATTGGTCTTAACAGGTTGTATCTTATTGGATTTTCTTGTATGTGATAATATAACCAAAAACTTTTATAGATAAGGAGATTATAGAGAAATCATTGTTTATTTTCTGATAGGCGGTTCTAAATACCCTGTAATACTGTCATGCTCTTGAATGGTTTTACATTGTCTTGGTATGTTTGGTGCTACAGTATATGAAGTTATACTCAAAGATTTCAAGGAAAGAGACACTATGGTAACTACTTTTATGTCAGGATATCTTGTGGTGAAACACTATTTTGCTTAAATGGTTATGCTTTGACCTGCGCTGCATTCTTTTATCTCAGTCTCCTTTTTTAAATTATTTACTTTTTTATCTCTATCTTTTTAATTAAGGGAAAAATTTTTAAAAAGAAGGATACATTATAGTAACCCACTTTGATTTCCTATTAACTTGATTTGAAACCCTGTATAGCCCTCACCATCTTGCTTTGACTGATTTTCCTGTATTCTGCTTTGCTTGATAGTACCAAGTTCGAAAGTATAGGCAAAACTGTAAAGACAATAAGATTCATTATGATACCCATCCCGGTTGACTATTATCTTCTTTTAAAGTCCTGTAATGTCTCCAGTGTTTTGGTTTTATTCTTTATTGTTTTGTTCAATTTTATCATAACTGATGTATAGGCAATTCTTTTTAAGATAGCAAGAGGCAGTATGGTAACCATTGTTGATCACCTAGTATTTTGTTTTTACATTATGTATTATGTCCATCCTTTTGATTTAACTGACTCTGTTCTGTTATGTCACATTTGGTTTTACTCTCTTCAAAAAAAAGTAATAAGAACTGTGGGAGTAATAAAACCCAAAATGTGTAATTGTCATTGTACAAAAGAAAGGAAAAGAAAGTGCTCTAAAGAATATAACTACATATATATTTAAGTATAAGATAGATAACCATATTACTGAGTTTTGTTGGATCATTGAACAAAACTGTTTCCAGTCTCACTGTTTGAAAGTCCACTTTATATGCTTTAATTTTGTAACTTGAACAACTATTTCTAAGATAACAATATGTAATCTATTAACTAGTGATTTCCTACTGTTTATTTTTTCTGAAATTCTGTATAACTTGTATCCTTTTTCTGTTTTTTTTTTCTTTTTCTCCGTAAATAAAAAAGCAGCAGGAGCAAAAGCAGGGAGAAGGAGCCTCTTTCTCCTCCTTGTATTGTAAGCAGGTCACACTGCCCCACCCAGGGCCAGTGTAGCACTCACGCAGCCTCTGTACTCTCCTCTTGCACGGGGCTGAAGATGTTTACAAAGTAGGGACCCTGGCTGGCTGCTGAGTCTCTTAATTAAATTTCTAAACTTCTCAAGTTGACACAGTGTATCAACCCTAACACCTACTTATCCTACTCCTGTTGCTATCTTAGAACTCAGCTGAGCTACTACTCCTTGCCAGGGCTGGCTACAAAAGTTGTTTGGTCCAATGCAATATTAAAATTTAGGATCCTCTGTTCAAATATTATTAACAGTTAGTAAATGGCAATAGCAGAGCATTAAGTCAAACATGGGACCCTTCTAAGCACAAGTGTCCCTGTAAAAATACACGTTTCAAGCCCCTTCATTCCATTCCACCTTAGCATGGTTTACTGAGTCCTGAGGGTAGGGACTATTATACCCAGGTAGAGATAACACCAGTCAGAATCCTTTCTTGATATTCGCTTGTACCGGAACTAAGAAACATATTCTTCTCCATTGGATAAAACCAGGACCCATCAACAATTTTGTTCCCAGTTATGTGAAGAAAGTGTTGTTGTGTAGAGCACACATTTTTACATAATAGCTGTGAACAGGGAGTCTTGCATATGCGTCGAATACTGTCTGAAGTCCTGATAGTCTTCTAGACTTTCTGCTGACCCACACCTTCCTGGCCACTAATTTGAGGGCTGAAACAGATGTATTCGGACATTTTCTGGTTCTGTAATTATCTACGTCTGTAAGCAGATTGTCTAAGACTGACATCGGCTATAATCATAGATGTGTAGGAATGCAGAAGGGTGTCTGATTACTCTTTTTCATCCAGGACTCATAGGACAGTAATTTGCTCAGACCTTAATAGTGTAGTGGCCACTGAGACACCAAAACCTGCCCCTTTAAGGCTGACCATCAGCTAAGGCTTTTTAAAAAGGATTCCAACTGCAAATAGTGCTTTTTTTGTGCTTTCTTAGGAGAAAAACACTTTAGGTCTAAGGCAGAAAGACCTCATACCCCCAGGGAACCTCTGCCTCTACAACTTCAATCTCTTTTCTCTTTTTCCCAACAGTACAACTCCCAAGAATTTTCTCAAAGAAGATTCACAAAACATTGATAAATGAGTAAAGACTGCCTCCTGGCAGACCTCTCGACTGGTCTTCTTCTGGGAGCTCATTTGAAAGGGAACTTCAGGGGCAGAGCACAGTCAGTTCCCAAGGACCAAGATCTGGGCTTTGGTTTTTCTGAGTTTTTTTTTCTATGTCCAAATTAGGCTCTTCAAGGGAAAAAAAGGAACAAGGTAAAATGAAGCCTAAATTTAACACATGAATATTTCTCAACGCATATACAGAGACTTCGGGGAAACATAGCTAGAGTTATTGCATTACTCTTTCAGGTACTTATCACTATTGTTAGTGTCTATATTGTTGTTTGAGATGAAGCCTCACATGTTGCCCAGGTTGAGCTGCAACTCGTCATGGCTGAAGTGGTTCTCCCATCTCACGTATCTATAATAAAAATGTGTACAGGTCGGACTCTGTGCCAATGAGAAATGAATAATTCCTCCAGTATACACCTGAAATGTATGGTCGTAGGTACAGCACTGCTTGTTGTAAAAGAATATGTAAGCGAGTTATCATTCCTAGGAAGCTGTTTTTTAAAATGTCATTTCTGTCAATTTATAGATGAGGACGCCAGACTCCTGCATGGTGAAAATTCATATTTTCACAGTGTGTATTTAGAACCTTCCTGACTTCTTTTGCTCTAATCCTGGCTGGGTTAATGGCCTGAGCCTGCTTCTGTGCACTGCCTCAGAGGTGAGAAATTGATATATGTCATAATGATGACTCATGCTTACATTAATATGTCTCATTCTTTCAATTGAATGTCCTACAGCTTTTTATCTCCTAAGTAAAACCCAGATAACGCCAAGGTGAGAGCCATAGGACCAGAAGTGAGAGCAAGCCTCCAAGGGAAACTCTTCTACAAATGTCCAGCAGCTCATGTCCATATGTCTTTCTGGAACTCTTGCCAGACATAGTCACAGGATCAAAATTATTTCTTCATGGTCATTATGCAGTGTCACATCTCGCAGAGCCAAAGGAATAAATTCCAGACATGCAGAACACGCGTCTCTCCAGCCTCTCTCAGCCAGGCTGTCAACTCTGCAGCACTGATGCACAAATCAAAAAGGGCAGGCAGAGGCTGAGGACTGCTTCTGTTGGTCTGTTCCTTATCCTTCGCCTTCCTGATGCAGGGGAGTGAAAGACCCTCAGCCACGCCCTGGCCCTCCACACTGAATTCCTCACTATGATATTCCCAGGGTAGGAAAAAAATATGGGCATGGGAGGGAGCAAGAGATGGAGGAGAGTTTGCCAGACAAAGAGAAGGAAATTATATATTCAAGAGCTATTTAGTCAAGGACTGAACATAAAAAATTGACGAGTGTTTCCTGTCTCTTAACTGGTCAAAAAACACACTCCAAACCCATCCTCCTGTCTCCTCAATGTTTCTCTCTCTCTCTCTCTCTCTCTCTCTCTCTTCCTCCCTCTTGGTTTCTTCTCCACAGCTGAATGCTTCCGAGTGTTTTTCCTCTTAGAAACAGTATGATTTCTGTCAAACCACAGTTTAAATTTTTCAGAGAAGCTCTAGAGCTTTCATTTCTGTAACCAAGATCAACAATCTGTCATGTACAGTGGCATTTCCAACTGACAGCTGGAAATCTCCACCTGGATGCCCTGCCAACACCTTGAAATTATCACGTCCAGAAACGCAGCATCTTTCCTTTGGAATGGAATGTTCCTTTCCCAGACTTTTTTCCTGTTCCTTATAAACCACTCTCGTTACTCCAGTTGCAGATGTTGAAACTTTTACCTGATTGTGGCCTCTTCTGTACTGTCGTGTGGGTTGGGTGATCACCAGGTCTCTAGCACAGGTGACTAAGGGGAGAAGGTGATGCCTCCATTGAGACCTGAGTGGGTGTGCAGGGGAGAACAAGGGGGTGCTTTTGGACACCCTCAGGATGGTCTGAGACGACAGTGAGATGTCTTACTGGATATGTGCAGGGTTAGAAGAAAATATTAGAGCAAAAACCAGGATTCCTATACAGCAAATATAAGCCTGGAACTCATCAGAGGACAAGCGGTGGTTAAAATCATGAGAGCAATGGAGTTATCAGGAGAGGGGAGAGGTACAAAATACGATTAGAATTTTTTTATTAGGTATTTACTTACTTTGCCCTGAGAACAAATATGAGATTTCTGGATCAGAGGCAGAGCTACCAGAATGACATGGGTTCTCCAGGTTCCATTTTCCATTTCAGGGTGATGTGGTGAAAGCCAGATGTCACTCTGCCTGCACCAGGGGCTTTTGCATGACAGAAAAGGAACTTCAAAATCCGGGATCTGGCATCTGGCCACGAAAATCTTCATATATGTTTTCCTACAGACGTTTTATAGTTTTCTGTTTTACAGGTTAATGTATAATACATGTTGAGTTAACTTTTGTGTACAGTATGAGGTATTGATCAGAGTTCTTACAACTTAGCACATACTCAATTGTTCCAGCACCATTTGAAGAAAAAGACTATCCTGTTTCCATTGAATTGCCTGTGTACCATAGTAAAAACAAAAATAAAACAGTTGTTTGTGTATGTGTGGATCTATTTACAGGCTTTTGTCACGTTAATTTATATGTCTATGTTTACACCAGCTCTGTGCTGTATTAATTATTATAGTTTTATTACAAACCTTGACATTGCTCAGTATTATTCTCCAATGTGATGTTCTTTTTCAAAGCTGTTTTATCGCTTTTAGGGACTCTATATTTCCATAAATATTTTTAGAATCATCTTGTCAGATTCTACTGAGATTGTATTATAACTGTAGATAAATTCAAGGAGAACATGTATTTTATCAATATTGAATCTTGTTTTATTTAGTACTTTTTTATTTAAGGAGAAAAAGGAAAAAGACAGAAAAAGGGTACAAGTAATACAAAATTTAAAAAATAAACAGTAAGAAATCACTAGTTAATAGATTACATATTCTCATCTTCGAAATAGTTGTTCAAGTTACATTATTGAAGCATATAAAGTGGACTTTCAAACAGTGAGGAACACTTTTTATTTAACTTTGTAATTTCCCTAAGCAAAGTTTTGTTGTTTTCAATAGACATATCTTGTAGAACTTTGTCAGAGTTATCTCTCAATATATTTTGGTGCCATTATAAGTAGCATTATTTTAAATTTATAATCATTTGTCACTAGTATCTAGAAATACAGTTGATTATTTGCAATGTTGATTTGCATTCTGCAACTCTGCTAAAATTACTTATCCTATTAGTTTTTTTGTTGATTATATTAGATTCACTACATGGACAATCATTTATCTGCAAATAAAATGAGTTTTGTTTATTCGTTTTAAGTCTAGATGTATTTCTTCCCTTGCTTTAATGGGCTGACTGGAAAATCCAGGACAAGAAATAGTGATAATGAACATATTTGCTTTGTTCTTAATTTTAAGGGTAAAGTATGTTTTTATATATTTACACATGAAGCTGTTAGTTTCGGCACTCTTTTGTTCCTTTGTGTAGATTTCCAAATATTTTCATTTATTTTTCTGCCTTTAACATTTCTTATAGTGCAGGTCTACTGTTTGCAGTCACTCCAGCCACTCATGTTTGCATTCCAGATAGTAGGAAGAAAAGGGAAAGAGAGAAACTGCGACTGTTCAATCGCGTCTTACAAATCATGGTCATGTTGCTACATTTATCTGAAGAGCAAATGAAAAGCAGGCCTTTTATTTGAGCATACTAATACCCTCGGTGACACTGGGGTTTCACACCAACATGCAAAGACTGGTAGGCAAAAATTAAAAAGTTTCTTAGTTTGTAAGAACTATACACCCCACATCATTTTCTTTCTTACCATAATTTGCTCCTTAGTGGCAACTATTTTTTAAAACTCTTTTAGCTGTTATACTTAGGATTTATTTTCATATCGAGACAACAGCAACACTGTGCTGGTAATTCAATCTATCCTAGTTTTAAATAGTTTCTATTTATTTTACATTAGGAAATGAGGATTTTTACCTTTTGTCCCTTATGTACATACTGCTCATTCTTCCCTTCAGTCTTCCTAAAAAGTTATGTCATAGGTTTGTACATTCAGTTCTGGAATTCTGATTTCTAATTTCCTGAGTTGGTGCAGTTGTTTTTGTGGTCCTGATACATAGCAGTCTCCCTAAGTAGTCTCTTCCGTCCCGTCACGTCCCATCTCCTCATCGTATATGGACTCCCTCCTCTCCTCGTAGGTGCTGGATCTCCTTTTTTCTTGTTCCCATCTCAGGTCTTCTTTCTTATGGACTTGCTAGGATTGGAGATACAGCTCAGCAGCACAGCATCTGCCTAGCAAGCACGAGGTTATGAGTTCAATTCCTGGTACCACAAAACAGAATTATGTTTAAAAAAGAAAAGAGAAGAAAAGAAAGGACATGCTGGTTCTTCTTTGGATACTTTCAGGGTCTTTTCTGTATTCCTATTGTTTATTGTGATATTTTATCCCAATGTCTAATGAGTAATTTTTAAAGATATTGAACTAGGCATTACATGGAGCAATTAATTTGAAAATTTTTATCTTTCAGGTCTGGATAAAGTCTTTTGAATTATTTTTCTGGTAACCGTCATGTCTGTTTTTCCCAGAGCCCTTCCTATTTATATTGGGTCTCCCAGACTGACCACTTTCTCTCTCAGTCTTTTTTAATATGGGTTCATGCTCTGTTTTATATATTTTATTATTTTTTTATATTTTTAAGAAGTATTAGTAATATATATATATATATATATATATATATATATATATGTCCAAGTCTCCTCTGTATTTAACTGGAATTCTCTGATCTCTTTTCAGATATATTTATAGCAGGCAAGGAAGTTCCTGTAGAAGCCTATATAGTTTCTTTGAAATGAATACCAGACTTCCTTTTCTTGGTATGATTCTTGAACCTATCAAAAATTTTTCAGGATGTTTACACCAAGTAGAAACACTGAAAGGTAGGAATAGGTGAAACCTCCTTGGGCCACTGTCCTGCATCTGTTGTGAGGTTTACTCTTTTCAGAAACAAGGGACAATACTGCCCATCTTTCCCAGCTCAGGGTTGCTGCAGTGGACAAATGAGGGCATATAAATCGTCATTACTGGAAACACACACAGTAACCTATCAACAGGAAAACTGTAGTTGCAGAAAGGAAATAAAACCTCAGATAGAATGAAATTCTCAGAACTTCTTGCAGTTTTTGACCCAAGAAATGAAAATACAGGAAGAATCTGGTAAGACAGTAGCAAGATCACCCAAAGGAAATTTATGGGAGGCTCTCGGCAAGGGATGGAGCGGGGTCTTTTCCATGCAAACAGGATTCACGCTTTGATTTCAGGGCTTCCTGAGTCATCTATAAATGTCCTTGTCTGTAAGATGGGGACAATCATCCCTATCCTACAGTATTGTTTGGACTTACAGAATAAAAGTAAATGTATAGCTGGCATTCAGTAAACGGTAACACTGATTAGTGGCTACGTTCCCCGGCTCTACATCCATCCTGTCTGGTTTGTGCTATCCTCCAAGTTATTAGTGATGTGATTTGAGGACAAATTACTCAACCTCTCGGAGGCTGTTTCCTCATCCACAGAATGAGATCATAGCAGTAGCCACCTCGTAGAGTGGTTGTGAATAGTAAATATGCTAGCTGATGGAAAACATCTAAAATGGAGCCCTCGCACATGACCAACGCTCAACAAATGTTAGCTAATATTGTTGTTATTAATTATTAATAAGGCAACTGTTTTAATTGTCCATTGAGTCATCATTTGGAGTGAAAAAAAATTGCAACTTACTTTTTGTGCTGCAATGGCCTGTTTGGGCTGCTGTAACAAGATACCTTAACTGTGTAAACCGTGAGGATTTCTTGTTCGCAGTTCTGGAGACTGGCAAGTCCAACAGATCTGATGTCTGGTGAGGGCTTGCTCCCAATAGATGGAGCCCTCTCTGTGTCCTCCAGTGGCACAAAGGACCACCATGCTTCCAGGCCTGTTTTACAAGGGACCTGATCCATGCACGAGGCCTGACTTCTTATGACCTAACCATGCCTCAAAGCCCACCTCTCAATACCATCCTTTGAGGATTAGATTTTAACACAGGTATTTGGGGAGCATGCAAACACTGAGACCACAGCATGTGTTAAAGTCAATTCAGGAAGCCATATGGGGGCCAGGAAGAGAGAAGTCAGTGCCTCTGGAGAATCAGCCATACTGGGGCTGGCAGGAGCTGACCAACAAGCCATCCAGCCAGTCTTTCTGGTAAGCTGTGTAAGCCATGTGGGCCCATGAAGAGAAAAGTCAGACTGTGCCTCCTGTGAACCGTGGGTTGAGAATTACCAACTCTCCTCTCCCTGTAGCAATTGGCTGCTTCGGAGGACAGGCTGACTTGCTAGCAACTGAGGTACAAAAGGCAACCAAACGCTTGTATTGTTTGGTTGACTTTGCAGGCCTAGGGCCTGCGGTCTAAGCATCTATTGGGAGGATGACAGTTTGTAATGTATCTAATATGGGGATTTCCTTCTGTCATGTCTTTGAAGTCCAATATTGCTCTCAGTGTTTTGTTTTGTTCCTATTAAATTTTTTGCTTTATTCAGTGTTCTGTTTTGATTGGTTTTATTCTGTTTTGTTTTGGTTTGATTTGCTATACCTGATGGGATGGACAACTTTTGTGAAGATTACCTAGTATCCTGCTTCAAAGTTCTGTACCAATTTCACTGCTTTGTTTTGATTGGATTTATTCTGTTTTGTTTAGTTTGGTTTTATTATCTTTTAAAAAAATCAATTCACACCACAATAACTAACTAGGGATTGCTGATCCTGCCACTGGTGGTTCACTGTCTCAAAGGCCTCCAGTCCTGTGTTGCTGCCTCATACATCCATAAGCCAGGGATGGAACAAGAACATTTGGAAACATTCTGATGTCAGGGCCCTGGGCCAAGTCCTGATTCTTATTCGGAAAAGAAAAGCCCTAAATTGGGAAATAACAAGGGAAGAAAGGTGAATTATCTCCCAGGCAGTCTTTCAGGTGTCACGGGCCTCCCCAAATAGCTTCAGACACTGTGGCCTTCCCAATTTGATGCATACATTGAGAACTTGTAGTGCTTATTGAACTTTGACCTCCTGACCTGAAATAGACCAATACCGCTGCCTCCACTAACCCATTATTAGACTGACAGGAGAGAATGGCTAAGCTACTCAGAAGCCTGACTTTACCACAGCTTGCCATCAACTCTAAACTGCCCTGCACCTTGGGAGAGCTAGCTGTGTATTCTAGCGTGATCCCAATAACAGGGACAGCAGCACTGCTCAGCATTGGATGAGTATCTGTTGAATGAACAGCTAACCAGTGGGGAGGAGCTATACAGTGAGTACATCTGTGCTCACGTCAGATCACAAGATAGGAATGCAGTATCGAGCTTATCATTTTGAGGGTAATATATAATGTATCCTCCCTTCTCCTAGACTCAGGGTACTTACACCGCAGTGGTTTAGGGCTTGTAGGTCTTTTAAAATTCTGTGAATCTCTCAGAGTTGCAAGACTTATTTTTGTCATGTGTAGTATTTGAGGAATGAGTG